GGGCTTTGGGGGCCCCTGGGAGCGGGGATCTTCGGGCCCCGACGGGCTCGGCCTGCCTTCTCCTCCGGTGCGCAGTTTGGGAAGCAAGCAAGTTACCCGAACCGCCAGACACCGGGAACGGAAAACGCAGCCCTGGGGCTGAGGATATAATGACCCAGAGGCAGCGGAGGGCGAGGTCCCTGTGCTGGGCGAGCAGCTGCAAAGCCCTGCCCACCCCGAGCTCCGCCGCGCAGGACGCAGGGCCCCGGGGACTGTGCTCAAAGAAGTTTGGGGTTGAGTTTATGTGCTTATTTCTGTCAGTTGGGCGCTTTCTGCGCTCGCTGGTGAAGGTAATGCGGGCTTTACAAACCACAAGACCCGCGAGAAATGTAACCCGCGCCTGTGCCCCCGCCAGGCTGGGGCGAGAGCCTGTGCGGCTTCGGGGCGCAAATGAGCCTTGGACCTGGGCAGACCCGCATCTGCAAAGCCCATGGGCCAGGGTGCCTTCTGCGGGGGACCGCTTGTCGGGTCCTGTGATAACCACTGTGGGGTGCACAGTGGCGCGAACACGGCCGGGGCAGAGCCCGACCGGCGGGAAGGAGTTTGCGGAGCCCCCGCAATGGGAAAGAGAGAACGCAGGACGTGGAGTCTCCATGCCTGGGCCCAGGTCCCCGGATCTCAGAAGGAGGCCTAGGACGCAGGGTGGTCTCCCCGCTTCTCCCCTGCGCACTGGCCCAGACCGGGTGGGAAATAACCGCTTGGATGGGCCACTCGCAGAGCCGCGGTGGGAAGGTCTCTGGAAGGCGTCGTTGCTCCCACAGCACAAAAATAAACAGGGCAGCGTGGGAGACCCAGCCCTGACTGCCCTCACCCTCTGCGCCTCCTGCAGTAACCAGTCCCTTGGCCTAGGGGACCTTCCGGTCTCCAGGGATGAGCACTGACTGACAGTACGCCCTGCATGTTTGCATGTCTTCATCATAGGTACGAACTGTGTTAAGTACAAATGTGGCGTTGGCCTTGTAGACAAATAGGAAGCCAAGATGACAAGAGAAAAGCTCTGAGACGTCAGCGTGGGGAGGAATGTGGCCTTTCCCTCCAGTCCTCTGTGCGTGTCTGTGACTGCTCTCCCAGCGCAGTCCTAGCTCTGGCACCTGCTTAGTCTTAGGAATTGTACACGGAGCCCCTGCTGGTCCCTGCTCGTTCCTGCCTGCACAGCCCTCTCGCCAGGGGCCAGGAGAGGGGAGATGGCCTGGTCCCCCATGCTCGGTCGTGCTCTGCTCTCCCGGCCCCACGGTGCGTGAGGTAGGACCCTGGTCTGGATCCCTGCTGACCTTCTCCCTCCCGTCGCGTCTCCCTAAGGCCTCCAGCTCAGCCCTGAGCCGTGAGTCTCCCAGAGGACTCACCGCCCCCCCCCCCCCCCCCCACAGACTGGAAATGGGGCCTGGGAAGAGAGGCCAGTGCGGGACACAGCGCCTTTCCCACTCACTCGGCAGGAAGCTGTGGGGAAGTGTGCGCTTGTGAGGGAGGGACGGTGGCCAAGCCCTGGGTGTTTCCCCGACTTTCTTTGCTGTTAACAGCGCCTTGCCCAGCTGAATTGTCAGAAATCTGGAAAATAATCCCGAGGAGGACCTGCCTGTCCGCTGCGGGGGCTGTGCCAGCGAGACGAGGGGGCTAGCCTGGGCCCAGACCAGGGCGCTGGTTTCCGTCCGTCCCTGTGGAGAAGGGGGTACACAGGCGCTGGGAACGGCCGGGGCTGCGGGCAGAGGACACGGAACAGGCGGCCAGGGCCCCACCTTTCTCTCGGTGGCAGTTTGGCTACATCCGAGCCCGGCCAGTTCAGGCGGTTGAGAGCCCTGAGGCACAAGCCAGGGTGCAGGTGGTCAGTTCCCTGGACACACAGCGTGCCCTGGGGTGGGCAGTTCTGAAGGATCTGGTCCTTGCTTAGGTGAGGGTGTGCTTCCGGGAGGGACAGCCCACGGGGTCCTCCATCCTAAAAGCTTTTTTAAAAAATATTTTTTTATTGATTTCAGAAAGGAAGGGACAGGAAAAGAGAGATAGAAACATCAATGGTGAGAGAGAATCATTGATTGGCTGCCTCATGCATGCCCCACACTGGGGATCGAGCCCACAACCCAGGCATGTGTCCTTGGCCGGAATCGAACCTGGGACCCTTCAGTTCGCAGGTCGACGCTCTACTCACTGAGCCAAACCGGCTAGGGCCTAAAAGCTTTTTAAAAGATGTATATTTTATTGAGTTCAGAGAGCAAGGCACAGAGAGAGAAAAAGATAGAAACATAATGATGAGAGAGAATCATTGATTGGCTGCCTCCTGCACACACTCTTCTCCCCACTGGGGATCAAGCCTACAACCTGGGCATGTGCCCTAACAGGGAACTGAACCATGACCTCCGGTTCATAGGTCGACACTCAACCACTGAGCCACACTGTCTGGAATGATTTTTTTTTTAAGAAAGAGGGAAGGAGCCCTAACCGGTTTGGCTCAGTGGATAGAGCGGCGGCCTGCGGACTGAAGGGTCCCAGGTTCGAGTCCGGAAAGAAAGGGGGAAGGAGAGGGAGAGAGAGAAACATTGATGTGAGAGAAAAAGCTTCCTTCACACCTCCTTCCAGGGATCCAGCCTGCGACTTGGGCAAACCAGCAACCTCCAGGGGCATGGGGCGACCCCCAACCAGCTGCCACACCAGCCAGGGCGAGAGGATGTGTTTTCATTGACTTGAGAGAGAGGAAAGAAGGGAGGGAGACAGGAAAGAGCGAGAGAAACATCAATCGGTTGCTTCCTCCCGTAGGACCCCGACCAGGGATCAAACCTGCAACCTCGGTATGTGCCCTGACTGGGAATCGAACCCGAAAACTTTCGGTTTACAGGGCAGCACTCCAACTGACTGAGCCACCCGGCCAGGGCAGCTGGAGGGTTTTACAGGCGGGAACTTCGGGAAGGTCCTGTGGGATTATCTCAACAGAATATCCACCAGCTTTATGCTGAGGCACCAAAATGGGATTTGTCCCCCTGGCTTCATCTGTCCTTGGGTGGGGTTGGCACAGATGGCACTGACTGGGTTTCCGCTGTCTGTGTCCCTGAGGGGGGTGATTTAAGCTGTTTACCTCTGGTTGTGGAGAAGTGTAAACCATTATTCTAAGTGTCCTTGCTTAAGAAGGGAGGGTTTGCAATTCACTAGATGGCTGTAAACTGCCTGTGTGTGTAAGCTGCTTGGCCGTTTAACTGTCTGCCTCAGTTTCTCTGTTCCACTCATCCTTGCTTACTGGCCTGTCTCAGAAAGACAGCAATGTGTGTGAGTGCCTCCCCTCCGGGCGCTCCCTCCTCTGGCAGCTGGGATGTCAGGTCACTAGGGGAGCTGAGGTTTTCAGCCCCACTCTAGTCTTACAGAACCGCCGTCGTATCCTAGGTTCCTCATAGGCCATGCCGAATGAAAAATAATATCGACTCGGTGTTTCATTGCCAGGAAGGATTAATTTGGGGAAAAATAAGAAGGTTGGGATAGACCCAGGACTAGGCCAGGAGCCTGGATGAACCAGTCAAAGGTGGAGCCCCAACCAGCCGGGAGGTTCTGTGCCCCAGGCTTCTGCTTCCTGTTCCTGGAGTCCATGAGCCAAGGGCGGGGTCCCCACCAGAGGAATCAGGGTTCACCCAAGGGAGACGCAGGGCTTCGGGCCCCAGGTCTGTCCCCAGGTCCCTCACTGCATCACTCCTGGTCTCAGCCCCACTCCCTCCTGGGTCAGTCCTGGGATTTATCCTGGGAGTTGTTTCGCCCACTGAGCCTGCATCGGTGAGAAGCCCTCGCCACCTGCCCCATCTGCCAGCTGCAGGCAGTCCCGGCAGGGCTGCAGCCCGAGGCGCAGAGGGCCAGCCTGCGAGTCTTCTGCCAAGTGCAGGTGGCTTTATGTCCTACATCCAGGACATAAAGCCAGGGTGCTGCAGTACCTACCCTCACAGCACGCCCTGGTCTGAAGCGGCCTTGAAATCTGGGGGTGCGGAGGCTGGGTTAAATTTTCCTCCCTCCCCAAACCCTCTGCACACACGCACACACACACACACACACACACACACCCTTGGGCTCTATCTATACAAACTTGAAACACCTATTCCTTTTGACAACAGCTATACCTCAAGGAATTTCTCTTAAAGGGTATCTTCCCCCAAGTGTACAAAGAAATATGCGTACGTGGGAAGTTCATTACTGTGGACAACCTGTGGATTTAATGTGTTGGTGCATTCATACAATGGGGAAAAAAAGATTGCAACCATTGTGTGCAGACATTGCAAGCTGTGTGCACACTGCTCCATGTGCTTAGGTGGGGAAGTATATGGAGAGGGAAGAGGAAGTTAAACGGAAGGACAGTTATGGCCAGAGAGCTTTATTGTCAGCATGTTTTCTTCTGCAGGGCTCTCATGCTAACGGAGTATAGTACTTCTCCCATGAGCCCTGGCTTCTCCCATAAGCCCTAGCTCCTCCCACAGGCCCTGGCTCCTCCCACAGGCCTATGTTCTTGAGTCGCAATCATAATATTTATCAACCAAAATGTCATTATGCGGCACATGACTGAATTCCCACCCGTGGCCTGGGCATCCGCCCTAAGAAAATGCCGGTTCTCCACCCAATTGTGAATGTGTTCCGTGCCACACGGTTTGTAATATCAGAACCTGCGAAGCCGCCCGAAGGCCTGGTGGTGGAGGGGACCGAGCAGGCTTCGTGTGCAGCCATGGGAGTGTCCGGTGGCTGCAGGAGGCCCGGGCATGGGGGCAGCGCCCTCCGGGGAAAGGCAAGCAGCTCTGTGCCGCCGATTGCAGTGCTGTGTGCGCGTAAAGGCGCCAAGGACAAGGACTGAAAGGATGGGAACGATGCTGAGTTTACAAAAAGAGGGGGACCCTGAGACCTTTAAGTTATACTCAAAAGAGGCACCAAGCTGCAGCGAACGAAGCCACGGGGCGTGTCTGCGAGTGGCTGGCCCGGGCCCACAGGTCCGCTGGCTCCAGCTCGGGTTCTGCAGCGCTGGGTTCATACCAACCTTCTCCACGTACACCCCTGCCTCTCGCTTTTCAGGCCGGTCTTCTGTCTCCTTTTGGCTTACTTTGCAGTACATTCCAGAAGCAGCCCTCTGCTAAGCAGCAGGAGGCCATTGGAGATTAGAGTCCCCCTTGTTTTCTGCAGTGAGAGAGGCACTGGATCACGGTTTGGAAGTCGGTGCAGAAAAGATGTGCTCCCCCACCCCCCCTCAAAGCAGGCCTTCCAGGAAGTGAGGGTCTGGGCCCATCCGCAGAGCTGAAAACTCTCCCCCCAGATGCGGGTTTGGGGAAGGGAAGAGGGCTGCCATCTGAAACATCAGGGGCGGGGACCGGTGAGGTCCCAACATCGCAAATTGGACCCGCGACGGTGCTGGCCAGTGGGCTGGCGGAGGGGAGGGTTAGAAGCTTCCTTGGGAGCCAAGAAGACTGTGTCGTCTGCACCCCAGGCCCAGGAGACCTTTTCCCTCGAGGAGCTGAGAGGGGCAGCAGCAGTGAGTCCTCAGGCACCTGTTCTCTTCCCTCGGGAGTGGGAGTCAGGTGAACCCACCTCTTGGGCCACATGAGCTCCCAGAGAAAGAGGCTTTCCCAAGGGGTCCTGGGTTTTCTGGGCCTGAGCGCAGGTGGGAGGTGGTTTTAAATTAATGGAAGGAAATAAGAGTACAAACCTGCAGCTAAAGCATTAGAGCGACTCCTGCTGGCTGCCGGAGCCATGAGGAAGAATAGCTCAACCGCCCCGAAGCTGGGCTTGCCCTCCTGGCGGAGGCTTCATGGAATTCAGGAATTACCGTCCTCTGCAGGCCGGTAACATGTCACTCAGACCCCAGATCCCGCTGGTCTGGTCGGATGGTCTTATTTCAGCCTCAGCTGCTCCGCCTGTGGAGTTTCTTGCTGGCTATTGGAGGCTGTGTTCTCTCCAGTTCTCATTATGAATCTGGGATAGCAAGAGGCTTATCTCGTAAGGCGGCCTCTGAAAATCTCAGGAAAAATATACATGTGATCTGTGGCATGAGAATCTAAAGTGAGAATAGATTTGAAAAGCTAGGAAGCTTTTAAAAATGTCATTCTGAGAGCAGTTACCAACGGGCTTTTCAATGTTTTCAAGAAGCTCACCGGGACCTGCGCATTCCCTGTGGGAGCTGGCAGTGCTCCCTGAACCCTGGCGCCTCACTTTGCCCCAGGAAAGGCACTCCTCTCCCTCTGTGATGGTTGGCATTCGTATGTAACTTTTTGTTCTCTGTCTTTTTCCAGTTCCTGGCCCAGTTGATGGTGTTTCTGATCAGTTTCATAAGCTCCGTGTTCTGCGGCCACCTGGGAAAGCTGGAATTGGATGCCGTCACACTTGCAATCGCAGTACGTGTGGGACTGTTCTGACATGTCCATATTATTTATGAAAGCCATCTGTACGCGCTGCCTCTTGCTATGTTCAGGAATGACACAGGTTAGCAGCTTAAACCAATGCGGATGTGTTAGCGTCAGTGCTGGAGGTCAGAAGTCTGAAATGGGCTCCACTGAGCTCACTAAGTCAGATGCTGGCAGGGCTGTAGCCTGAGTTCTCCTTTGCCTGTAACTTCACATAGTCCCACATTCTGCGGGTGGAGACAGGGACCTCTTTGAGGGGCCTTCATTCTGTCTACCACATCAGCTTATTTGTAATCCATGGAGAGCTGGCTCCCATTCTTGGTCCCACATCTGGGAGAAGGGAATCGGAAAAGAAGGGTTGAACTCTAACTTCAGAAGAAACTGTGGACAGGGCCTGGCAGGAGGGGCCGTGGGGGCATGGAGTCCCGAGAGCATGGGCGCACGTGCGGGAGCGCTTGCTCCGGAGCCATGGGAAGGAGCCGAACACTTCTCCGAGCCCGTGACCAGCCGGGCGTCGTCCAACATGCAGCGTGAGTGCTGAAAAGCAGCTGAGGTCAGGAGGGTGTGAGTGTTTGAAGGCCTCGCACCCTCTACTCCAGGCACCATGGCTAACCTGGAGGGCACGGACCAGACGACACCCGAAGAGAAGTTCACAGGCCCCCTGTTGCCAGCGGTTAAGTGTGGCATTTTGGCAAAAAGGCAAGACCTCCATCAACAGAAAGATTATGATTTGATTTATTGCAATAGCCGCTTTCTTACAGAGCTCTGGAACCAAACCTGCCGTATCTGAGGCATGGCTGTGTAACGAAAATAAAGGAGCGTGAGGCCAGAGGAATGGCGGCGGGAGAGAACCCTTCGGTTTCTTCCCTTAGAGTTTTAACAGTTTGAACAACTCTAACGCAGCATGGGATTCCCTGCTCAACGTACAGGCACAGCTGAGCGATCTTCACATTGTAGCACCTAAAGGTGGGCAAGTGGGAGCCAATGGGGGAGGCGGAAGGGAGGAGGGCTCAGAGGAGCCATGGATGCAGGGGAGGGGAGGGGAGGGATCCCGTTGTGGCTGGTGTTTCCTGCAGCTGGGAGGAGCAGAGAGACGTGGTGAGCACTCCTGCAGAAGTGAGTGGCACGAGCTGCAGCTGATCCAGAGACCGGGGCAGGACGCAGCATGGGCTGCTGCTGTAGTTGTCTGGCAGTTGGAATTCAAGACAGAGAAGCAAAGCCATGGAGTCCTGCCACCCGAAGACTCTCAGGACTCCTCTCCCTTCACCCTTGGTGTTGGGTGTGAAGCACATTATTCACAAACCTGACTGGCCCCTGGTTGGGGGCCTTTGCAGAGGTCCAAGGTTGCCGTTACTGGGAGGGCAAAACAAAGAAGGCGGCTGGGTTCCCTCAGCCAACCCCATTTCCATGCATCACAGCTGTACTGACGGCAGCCAGAACCGCTGCTGGGGGTCAGCATTCTGATTTTACAGAGCTAAAAAAAACTTGTGATTCATTGCCACCTACTAGAAACTAATAAAAAGACCTCTTTTAGTAATCAGCTAGAAAAGTGGCACTCATACATAGCTGCCTAGACAGAGAAGGAATCCATCTAATATCATGAGTACCCAAGGTAGTGAGGAAGCTCAGAAACAAAATGAAAAATCTCCAGAAAACAAACTTAAACACATGAAAACATGTGGCATAAATGACAGAGAATTCAAGATTGCTGTTCTGAAAATACTCAATGAGATGCGAGAAAATGCAGACAGGCAATTTAAGGCATTCAGAAAACAAATTAAGAAACAAAACCTTTACCAAAGAGATTGAAACTTTATTAAATAACTAAACAAAAATTCTGTAGGTGAGGAACTTGATAAAAGAGTTTAAGAATGAACTAGTGAGCATTGGAAATAGAGCAGACCAGAGGGAGGAAAGGATTACTTTATCTAAGCGAGAAATATCGAAATGATGCAGAGGAAGAAGAGAGAAACCTGAGCTTAAAAAAAATATATGAAAGAGCCCTGTGAGAACTATCCAACTCCAACAGAAAGAGCTGTCTGAGAATAACAGGGCACATCGGGAGGAGAAGAGAGGGAGAAGGGAAGGGAGAGCCTATTCAAACAGATAGTGGATGAGAACTTCACAAACCTATGGGGAGAAGTAGACCCAAGAAGCAAGCAGAACACCTAGTTAACCTCAATCCCAAGAGGCCTTCTTCAAGGCACATTGAATTAAAACTGTCAAAAATTAATGACTTCACAAGACAGCCAGGGAAAAGAGGAAAGTAACCAATAAAGGCAATCCCTTTAGGCTAGCATCAGACTTCTCAGCAGAAACTCTACAAGCCAGAAGAGAGAGGAACCAAATATTCAAACATCTGAAAGAGGGAAATTACCAGCCAAGAATAATAGCCAGCAAAGTTATCCTTTAAATATGAAGGAGAAATAAAGATTTTTCCAGACATACAGAAGCTGAGGGCTTTTATCACCAGAAGACCTCCATTGTAGGAAATACTCAAAGGAGTCATCTACCTGAAACAAAGAACATAAGGTCACAACACTTTGGGTAAGATCACCAAAACACTTACAGCATTAACAAGGATAATTTGTGACAACAAAAACATAAAAGGGGAGAGGGAAGGTCTGAATTTGCAAAGGAGGATGAAGATCAGATGCATTCAAAAGAAAAAGGACTACAGTATATATGAAACTTTATATTTTATAATCCAGGATCTAACTAGAGGCCCGGTGCACAAAATTCATGCACTTGTGGGGGAGTAGTCCCTCAGCACAGCCTGCACCCTCTCGCAGTCCGGGAGCCCTCAGACTCTCCAGGGGGAGCGGGACTAAGCTGGCAGTCAGACATCCTTAGTGCTGCCATGGAGGCGGAAGAGGCTCCTGCCACTGCTGCCACACTCACCAGCTGTGAGCCCAGCTCCTGGCTGAGCGGCGCTCCCCCTGTGAGAGTGCGCTGACCACCAGGGGGCAGTCCTGTATTGAGTGTCTGCCCCCTGGTGGTCAGTGCGTATCATAGCGACCGGTTGTCCCACTGTTTGGTCGATTTGCATATCAGCCTTTTATTATATAGGATGGTAACCACACACACACACAAAAACAAAATGGAGAAACATAGCTTATAAAAAAGGAGAAAACAGAGGAAAGAAGTATGGGAATATAACCAAATAAAAACAAAAGACAGAAACACAAAGGAAAATAACCAATGGAGGCACAGAGCTACCAGAAAACAGAAGATGAAATGGCTATAGGAGATCCTCATACATCAATAATTACCCTAAATGTCAGTGGACTGATTCACCATTAAAGGGGCACAGAGTAGCAGAGTGGATCAAAAAAACAAAACCCATTGCCCAGCCGGCGTGGCTCAGTGGTTGAGCATCAAACTATGAACCAGGAGGTCACAGTTCCATTTCCAGTTAGGGCACATACCCAGGTTGCAGGCTCGATGCCTAGTGTGGGTGTGCAGGAGGCAGCCGATCAATGGTTCTCTCTCATCATTAATGTTTCTCTCCCTCTCTGAAATCCATAAAAACATATTAAAACACACAAACAAACAAAACCCATCCATGTGCTGCCTTCGGGAGACACAGCTAAGCTACAGACAAAGGTGTATTCAAAGTGAAAGGGTGGAAGATGATTCTCCAAGCAAATCACATCCACATCCATACTTACATCTGACAAAATAAATGTCAAGATTACAAAGGTATCAAGAGACAAAGATGAAAATTTTATAATGATAAAGGGGACATATGTCAAGAAGACAAAACACTTACCAATATATATGCACCCAACCAGGGAGCACCAACATATATAGAGCAACACCTAATAGAAGACATTCAAATGCCAACAGATATGAAAATATGTTTAACCTCACTAGCTATTAGGGAAATGCAAATCAAAACTACAATGAGATATAACCTCACACCTGTTAGGATGGCTGTTATCATTAAGACAAGTATTAACAAATGTTGGGAAGGATGTGAAGAAAAATGAACCCTCGTTCACTGCTGGCGGGAATGTGGGCTGGTCCAGCCACATGGAAAACAGGCTGGTGCTTCCTCAAAAAATTAAGAATAGCGTTAACATATGACCTAGCAGTCCTCTCCTGGGCATCTACCTGAAGAACTCGAGAACATTTATTCACAAAGCTCCGTGCACCCCTGTGTTCACTGCAGCATTAGTCACAGTGGCCAAGGCATGGAGACCACCAGAGTGTCCTTCCATAGAGGACTGGGTAAGAAGACGTGGTACATACATGCTATGGAGTGCTACTCAGCCGTAAGAAAAGATGAAATCCTGCCATTTGCGACAACATGGAGGGACCTTGGGAATATCCTGCTAAGCAAACAAGTCAGCGAGAAAAGCTAAGAATCATATGATTTCACTCATTTGGGATATAAAACTCAAGCGCATAGACACAGACGACAGCCTGGTGGTTGCCAGAGGGAAGGGGGTGGTGAGGTGGTGGGGGGTAAAGGGGCCACATATATGGTGACGGAAGATGATTTGCCTTTGGGTGAGGGGCACACAATGCAATACACAGCTCATGTATCATAGAAATGTACACTTGAAACATGTATGATCCTATTAACCCATGTCACCTCAGTAAGTTTAATTTAAAAAAGAAGAAACCGAGACCTCTACTCCCATCCCAATGACTTGTCTGTCTTTCTGGGAGTCCTAATCTAGAAATTAAACTGGAAAATGAAATCCTGTATCCTATTATCTAACCCTAAAGTCAGAAAGAACCCCAAATCCTCTCTGTATCTTAGATCAGATCCCCCCAAACCAGAGAGAGATGTCCTTGAGGGGTGAGCTGGCTCTGCATGGCCGAAGGGCCCGCCCACTTGCTCTCAGCATGCGCTCCTGGTCTCCCCGACGCCCTTGCTCCTGCGGACAAGGCACACATTCGCCTTCCCTGCCGGCTCCCTCCAGGCTTTGAGCTGCATCGGTGAACCTTGCGAGACTCCCGCTCTGCACTAGCCCCAGCATAAGCAGAGTATTTTGCTTTCAGGGAGCAAGTGGACAGCCCCAGGCTTCATTTTCCTTTTTGGTTTTGCTGTTTGGACATTTGGGGGAGATAGAAATGTCCTCAGCTGGCCTCCAGCAGATTCTCTGTGGTCAAGGACGTGCAAGAAAGCTGGTGCTCTCCGGCTGGGCTGGTGTGGCTGCTGCCCCGGCACCTGCCTGCAGACTCCGGCGGAGGCAGCAGGTTCCAGACAAGGCCAGCACCAGAGGTCCTGCCGTGCCCCTCCCTGACTTGGGGCTGCAGCCATGGGCTCCCCGGAGCTCCGGAAACCCCAGGGCTTGCTGACCTGGTCAAACCAGCACATGTGGGAGCCCCTGGCATTGGCCTTGACTCCAGAGACCGGCTTCTGCGCTCCCAGAGTCCTCCGGGACAGTGGAACAAGCCAGACTTGGTTTTGAGCAAGTGGACTTACCCGCCTGGCGTCCTGCCCCGTTGCCTGCCCCTTAGGACGGATGCACGTTCCTCTGAAATTAGGGAGCAAAACGCTGAAGATTAAAAAAGAACAAGGCTGCGTAGAGCCTCGGGCCTACACGTCTCTTCTCTAACCGTGTGCACGCCCTCTGTGCCCGCCCCGCCGTCTCTGCAGGCGGAGGCCCTGCGGGCTCTCCCGGGCGAGGCGGCCGGCACCCCTCCTGTCCTCCCTGAACGCTGAGCGGCCTCTCCTTTGCATCTCTTTCCAGGTGATCAATGTCACTGGTATCTCCGTGGGATTCGGCTTATCTTCCGCTTGTGACACCCTCATGTCTCAGGTAAATGGGCCCAGGCCACTCTCAGCGACCCTGGGCGTGACCCTGGGTGGATCTGGAAGAGCCGAGTGCACAGAGGGACACAATCTGACACCCTGCGGCCTGCGGGCCTCCGGTTCCAGCTCTCCTTCCTGCTCCCGCTCAGGGTGGCCCGGCGCCCCCTCCGGCCGTGCAGGTCGTGTTCATCTGCGCGGCTCCCTCACACGACATTTTGACCAAAGAGGGGGCATTTATACAAGTCCCTTCTGCCGCTTTCCGCATGATTAAGCGTGGTTAGCCTGTGGCTCTCCAACGCTAGTGTCCATCAGAACCTCCGGGGCTTGTGCCTTCGTGGAGGGTGTTCCTAAAAGCCCCTGGGCCAAGGGCCCGAGGAAGAGGCTGACACTCCGCCTTCCATCGAGCTTGTCACAGGGGAGGCGTGGCTGGCAAGTCCTCTGTGCCCGGGTGGCAGGGAGGATGGAGCGGGCACTGCAGCGGCCCGCCCAGGTAGGGGAAAGACCTTGCATGCTCGCCAGGGCAGGGCCAGGGCATGTTCTGGGAACCACATACACCAGCCAGCATGGGGAGGGCCCATCAGATGCCCCTGTTCCGTCCCAGAATGAGCTGCAGCCTGGCAGCGTCAGGCAGTCACGCCATGGCAGCGTCTCTCCACAGTCCCCCCTGTGTCTCTCCCAGGATGCGCCCTGGGTGTCAGCAAGAGGCTTCGTTAGCAGGGAGGTAGCTCGCTTAGTCGCCAGTGGCGCACATTAGGATCACCGTCCACAGCAACCGCATCGAGGTGCAAGCAAAGGAAAAACACTAAGAGCAGGAGTCCAGGTGTTAGTGACGATGTTTTCCATCATGGCCTCAGGACCCGAGCTGGGTGCTAGGTCACCAGGACATGGTGTCGGGCACTGACGCGTTTACGTGAGCCTTCATATGTGTTAGCAAAGAAGAAACACGAGCAGATCCATCTGGTATAAAAAACACCACATTCAGACCTGGCCTGTTGGGCTCAATGGATAGAGCGTCAGCCTGCAGCTTGAGGGGTCCCAGGTTCGATTCCAGTCAAGGACACATGCCCAGGTTGTGGACTCTGTCCCCAGTGTGGGGCGTGTAGGAGGCACTAGTCAATGATTCTCTCTCATCATTGATGTTTCTATCTCTCTCTCCCTCTGCCTTCCTCTCTGAAACCAATAAAAACAACAGTAACAAACAGCAGCACCCCTGTTCAGTGGGGTGCCCACAAGAGCAGCAGAAGTCCAAGGTCAGCAGGGACTTGAGTTGGGGGGGTCTTCCTCTATGAGCGTGACACTTGCAGCCTGGTCTTTGGATGTTGACGTAGCCACGGCCTCGGGAACCTGGCCAGGTTGTGCAAGCTCTAAGTGTTGACCAGGGGGGTGGTGCTTCCTAACACGGGGAGGTAAATTGGGGGGGCGGGGGGACTAGCCAGCCCGGGACCCCTCCCTTCTCCCCGCTTTCATTGGTGTGTGTGCCAGTCCACATGTGGCTTGTCTCCGTGGGTCCCTACTGCCTTAGATGACAGGGTCCCACAGGAGACCGAGAAGTTCCTCTCCATCCAGGGACGTGAAGTCACTGACCCTTCGCACGGAATCCCATTGCAGATTCCAGGAAACGGTCCCTGTTCCAGGGACAGCAGGCCTGGTGTCCTTATGACCACGCCCTCTGGCCCAGGGCCAGCATCTGTGCCTTCCTTTCCACGCCTTCACTGCATAGGGCCTCTGGCTGAGTCCCTAATGTGGCTGTGGGGCAACAGCACCCGCACTTGGTTATTTAAATGTAGTAAGGCCTGGGGCCCTGGCCAGGTAGCTCAGTTGGTTAGAGCATCGTCCCAATATGCCAAGGTTGTGGGTTCGATTCCCAGTCAGGCACATATAAGAAGCAGCCAATGAATGCATAAACAAGTGGGACAACAAATCTCTCTCTTTCTCTTCCTGTTCCTCTCTCTCTAAAAAAGCAACAACAACCAAAACAACAACAACAAAAGCCCTTAAATGCTGAATGCCTGGGAAAGTACCTTTGTTCACCGGCCAACATAGGTTTTCCAGCTAATAATTTTGTCGTTGCTCAAGGACATCATCTTTCTGACTTACCCGCCCCACTGCCTGCGGTTACAGGGGAGGTGGAACCCCATTCAGTACCGTGTTCTGCCCATGCCTGCACATCATGTCTTCTGAAACGTGACCCCCACAGTCACGCTCTACGACAGGGGTCCCCGTACATAGGTGGGGGACTTGGACTTTCCTAGTCCCTTTGTGGGGGCAGCCTCATTAACTGCCATCCTGTTCAGACACTAGGCTGTCCACTTCTTCAAGTTCCCATTTGCTGTGTCTGCTGACGGTCAGTTGCTGAGGCGTCTGCCTCCTGCTTACCTGGTAGACGCCTGTGGGCTGGGGCAGGAAAAGGTCAGCTCTGCCCCCGGCTTTTGCCAGTGAGCCCAGATGTGTCCCCACGTCTCCTGTCCTATATAGGCTGGCTCATTGCTGCCCACCCCTCTGCCTCCCATGGTCACAGCCCACCTGGCTGTGCCAGCGTCAGTGATCAGACAAACCGCTTTCAGCTCAGCCCACTGGCTACTGCGCTTTGTCCTGCTTCCATCCGGACAGGGTCAGTGGGCGGTGGAATGGCGACAGCATCCAGTAGACAGATTGTCCGCTAGAGCCATCAGTTCAGCCAGAATGCCCCTCCTTTCTTGCAGGTCACGGGGCTGACACAGGGGCTGAGCCACACCAGCCAGGGCCAACCCCCCCCGCCCCCCGCCCCTCTATGTCCTTTCCTAACCAGGCAGTAATGGGTGAAGGCATTACACTCAATGGGGTATAAGAGTTCACCGATACCCCAGAATTCCCGTGAAAGACGGTCCCTCTTTCACCTGTTTTGCTATTGGACAGGACCGTACTTGGTCTGTGACAGCCATGGGGACAAAGCGTGTCTTAGCCAACCACGTGATGTGATCCCTCCACACGTTCCTGTGGGGCCGCAGAGCCTGCAGGGCCTTCCGCGGCAGAGGCGGACGTCCGCAGGTTAACGTTTGTCATCAGCTAGTAGCCCATTTCACAGAGGCTGGGAAGGAAAACGGGGACAGGCCGCGAGCCACCAAACACGGCCTGCGGAGGGGCTGTGTGAAGGAGAGCACTTGGAAGGTACACCCCACATGGGAGACACATTGCATAGCAGTTGTTGGTCACTGCGAGGGCATCAGTAGGGGAGGCTGCACCCCTCCAGAAAGTGTACACACGCCAGGAGCGCGTTGGTGACCACGCTGACGGCAGCTGGGTCAAGTCCAGGGTCAGCCTTCGGGGCGCGAAGGGTGCAAACAGTGGGAATGAGGCTTGGCAGGAGCCGAGGGGAACCAGGAAGCCACCTGGTCTCCCAGGTGTTCAAGGCCCCAGGTGTTCACCCACCTGGTTGCTCTGATTCCGGAGCAGCCTGTTGCCATGGTTACAAGGACCTCAGGGCGATGGAAGCCCTGCAGCAAGGGCTTGTTTTTGCAGAAACAGGATAGACTTCATCCCCATGGGTCACAATCTGACCCTCAGGGTCAGTCCCTTTGGTGTGACCACAGTTTAATGACAGGCATCTTATGTCAGGAGAGCTCAGATTTCCAGCAATTTCTGGAACATGTATGTACAACTACAACATAAAGAAGGCTCGATGTCATTTCTCATTTGACAGTGTTTCCCAAGTAGTTTCAACATTCCAGGTGAGCCTCGTCTAATATTGTTCTCTTTTAAGGAGAGAGAACAAACCTCGAGGCATTCCAGGGCCCCTGGAGTACTGCACAGCCACGGCCAGAGGAAGGCTCTGACTGCATCCGCTTCTCCTGATATAGAAATCCGCATCCGTGATGCGTTCAGCTTGCCCACACGGATTTCTGTTCTCATTGCTGCTTTGCACAAACCTTCTATAAGTCTCCTTTTTTATATTCAGATTTTGTCCTGCTTTTCCTCTTTTCATTCCGAAACAACCAGCCTCACTTTAGGACAAACTTACTGTTCTTTCTCTCAAAAATATATTTTCATACCTTTTCCTTCTCTGACTGAAAGCGTATATTATTTCCTTTTCATCTTAATTAGAATTATTAGCCCGTAGATAACTCAAGAACATGTCTGTTCTACATCAGTCAACGAACTTAAATCAGCTTTTATTTACGGAAGATGAATCTTCTGTGGTGAACGTGAAGTGTGTGTTTGTTTCTGCGTTTTTGAGAATTGTAGAGTAGCCAATCCTTGTAAGTGCTTGTTTGTTTTTGGAGCCAATTAAACACAGCTCACTTACAAATTAGCAACACCACCCAGAGGTAGAAAGCACCACACACTTAACACATGTGTAGACACACATGCACACACACAGCTGCAGGCAGACCTGTGGCCTGAATAAAAGAAGTGGGTTCTCGAGACCTTCCTCCCCCTCCCACCCTTACGTCAGTCCCGCGCTAATAGAGGTGTGGGCAATATTCTATCATCTTTTTCTAGTTTCAGTTCATCCCCTAGTTTTCTAACCCTGGCGGTCAGCCAGCCGCCCACCCAAGGGGCCAGCCCTCAGCCGTGGCCGCGTGCTTGCCTTCCGCGCCACAGCGTATAAAGGGACTTACACAAACCCATAGGATCAGCGGCACTTTCGGGCACCCCTGTGCTCACACTGCAGTCTAGTGGGCACCCCTCCCCACATGCAGGTCCTGGCCAACCCAGATTTCCCCTGCGGATGCCTTTCCCCAGGCCCATTACTGGGGTTTCCAGGCTGAAAGAATGTCCTGGGCTGAGAGACCCAGGAGAGGGGCTGACAACTCCGTTATCACACCGAGTTTACTGAGGGAACTTACAGAGGAGGGGTGTCTTGGGCAGTGGTGTGATGGGATATTCCCCACCCCGCGTGACAGGTGCGGAGGGGCTATATACGCAGGGCAGGATGGAGCGGGGTACTCGGGTGTGACACCCGCCCCCACCCAGATAAGGGCAGATGCCTTGCATACCTCCTGAGGCAGGGCCACAGCCTGGTCCAGAACCAGCCCGCCTGAGGCGACAGGCGTCGGGGTCCCGGGATTGTCAGGAAGCAGCGTGTGGCCAGCATCCAGCTGGTGGGGCGAGGCAGCGGTGGGCGGCGGTCAGGCCGTGGAGTAGTCTCCACAGGAGAGAAGCATTTTGACTTGTGGGTGGGCTGATTCCAGTGGTGTAAGTAGCTCCCTCCGTGGCGAGTGTCAGCCTCCCACACATGTCACTGCACAGGCATGGGGAGGGATGTGCAGTTGGCGTTGGTAAGCCACTAACCGCTGGCCCAGCCACCGCCGTCTCTTCCCCCGGAGTTTCCTCTTAGAAGGCCTGGGTGGGGCCCAATATATTGCATTTCTAACAAGTTTCTAGGTGATGCAACCCAAACTAGAAAGCTTTTATCTATCTATTTATTTATTTAAAAACATTTTTATTGATTTCAGAGAAGAAGGGAGAGGAGAGAGAGATGGAAACATCAATGATGAGAGAGAATTATGAATCAGCTGCCTCCTGCACGTCCCACACTGGGAATCGAGCCTAAAACCCCAGACATATGCCCTGACCGTGAATCGAGCCATGACTTCCTGGTTCATAGGGCGATGCTCAACCACTGAGCCACACCAGCTGAGCAGGAAGTTTTTAAAAATTATGGTATTTGGCCCCCCCCACCCCACGGTCAAATCCAGGCGATCGTCAGTGAGACACCGCCTCCGTGCTTGGAGGCTGTTCCCAAGCGATTGTCGGGGACGGCGGAGCCTGAGAACGGCCGGCACGTACAGAATGCAGCCAAGCCTGCAGGGCGCCTGTCCGTCCTGAGGCGCCATCGACGGCCTGTGGGGGCGTGGGGCACTGACGGGCTTGCGTTGGCTGTGTGCCCCCAGACGTACGGCAGCCCCAACAAGAAGCACGTGGGCGTCATCCTGCAGCGGGGCGCGCTCATCCTGCTGCTCTGCTGCTTCCCCTGCTGGGCGCTCTTCCTCAACACCCAGCACATCCTGCTGCTCCTCCGGCAGGACCCGGCCGTGTCCAGGTAAGGCGGGCCGCGCAGGGCGGGGGGCCGTCCCCACAGAAAGATGCTCCCGTCCACGCCTGGCCTCTGGAAACGCCAAAGGCCAGGGCCACGGCCCCACACCAGGTGGTAAGCTTCCTCGGTTGGTCCTGCCGGGCCTGGTGCTGGCACACCGGCCCCTGTGACCCAGCGCCCTCCCCAGGTGGCTGCAAAGGCAGATAGTCTGGGGAGAAACACGACTTGCCAGCATCTCCATGAGAGGCGGTCATTGCAGGTGTTTATTTGTGGTCTTGTGCTTATCGACCTGGTTGGTATGAGCCGCCTCAGAGCTTTCAAAGCCCAGTGCTGCCGGGCCCTCCTTCCCGCCCAGCACGCTGTCCTCACAGTCGGGGCAGCCATGGCGGCGGTGCCTCTCAGAGGTCACCTAGATGAGTCTAACGTGCTGCCCAGATTGGGCCCTGCCAGGGCAGTCCTTGTCTCAGACCCGCGGCTCTGACCCAGGGGGCAGTTGGCAAGGTTGGGAGACATTCTGTTATCGAACTGGTATTAGGGCATCGCTACTGGTAGAAGCCCAGGATGCTACAAACCTCAGGGAAGTTGCCCACAGCAGACAATTCAGCAGCCACAGTGCCGAGTCGGAACAATGCTGCCCTAGACCCAAAGGCTTGGAAGAACCCAGAGAGGTAATTTGGGTTACGAGATGACAAGTTCTATCGTAAATGTGCGCATTTGCTGCAGCAGTTGAGTCCATTAATTTAGAAAGAGCCAGGGCTGTGAAAGGCAGTTACAGCTGGTTTGTCCTGCCTTCCTTTTCCTTGAGATGGAGACCTCCTCACTTTTATTTTCTTTTTATTGTATAGGCTTACCCATACCTATGTCATGATCTTCATTCCAGCTCTTCCTGTAAGTTCCCAAGAGTTAAGCTGTTTTCTTCTTGCGGTCACTGAGAAAAAAGCAGCTGAGATGCCCGTGAGCTCAATGAATTGGATCGCATGTGATACCCACGTGTGATGTGGGCTCGTTCCAGAAAGCGTGGCTTTACTTATGCTCAGGAAAGACACGGACATTGGTCCCTCAGGAAATTCCAAGGTTCAGGTGGCTCCAGTGGGCACTGCCCTGCCTCCTGCAGCTGGAGGGACGCTGGGGTCATGCAGGGTGACGAGAAGAGCAGATGTCCATGAAGTAAAGGTTTTCCCTGCCATAGGGGCGGGCCTAGAAGGTTATTGTGACAATCTCTTATTACGGGCAACACCCCTAATTCAAGTTCTAGGTAGTTAAAGGGAGGAGCAGAAGTTTCTCTTGAGCCTGCAGCTAAAGTTCTCTTTAGCTCAAAACAACCTGCATACCACTGATGCTCATCGAGGGGTGACTTCTTCTGGGCCCCCACAAGCTGAAGCATTCCCACTGCCTGGCGAGGCTGCAGCTTCCTAATGTTGCAGCACAGCGCCTCACGCACAGCGCATCACGCACAGCGCCTCACGCACAGCGCATCACGCACACCGCTGTGCGGCAGCTGCCCAGTTTGCAGCTCAGTGACACCTGTGCGGATTTGCAGCCTAGGGCTGTAGGGAACAGTTTGTCACCAGAATGTGTCTCTCCGGCATGAGGGCTATTTTAGGCCGGTTCCTCTTAAGAAACAGCAGACACCCAGTAGGAGCTGCCCTGTGTGAGGTGCATTTACTGTGTAGGGACCTCCCCACTCGCAGGGTGTCCCCCAGGCTGTGCCAGGAGGCGGCGGGGCCTCATCCCCAGACACTTACCTGGGAGCAGATGAGGACTGAAATCTGCACCACGCCGGACCCTTGTGATTGTGCGTGTCCTGGTCACTTCCCGTAACCGACTCCCCACGGAAGATGCTATTTACGGTGGTGGCTTCAGCCATTTTGGCGCGTTCCTCTGCTTCCTGGGGTCTCCTCGTGTGTACAGCAGGTGGACATGTTATTACACTTTAGTGGTTTTTCTCCTGTCGGTCTGTCTTGTATTACAGGGGTGTCTCAGCCAAGAACTGGGAGGGCTAGAGGGAATTCACTCCCTCCCTGCAGAGCCGGGGCTATAGCACAGGCTGGGGTGCAGTAGGCTGACCCCCCAGGGTTGAGTCACACACTCAGGGTGTTCGCACAAGGACGAGATCACCTAGGGATGCACTCTCCGCCTAGGGAAGCCTTCCTGCCGCGGCTGAGCCGGGACTGGCTGCGTTAGTTGGCCGGGGCTGCCGTGACAAAATGCCACAGACCGGGAGGCTTAAACCCAGAAACCTGTTTTCTCACCGTTTTGGAAGCTGAAGTCCAAGGTTCAGGTGGCGCAGGGCTGGTTGCCGCTGAGGCCTTCTCCGTGGCCTGCCGCGCCCTCTCCCTCTTCCCACGGCCCTGCCCTTCCCTGTGCAGGAAACTGTCGTGTCTCTTGTCTTATAAGGACACCAGTCCACCCGGACCAGAGCCATCCTCGCGGCCTCACTTTAACGTAATCACATCCGTAAAGATTATCTGCAGATTCAGTCACGTCGGGGGTTAGGGTCCAGCATACGAGGGGGACACAGTTCAGCCCTTAAAAGCAGCCCCCTGCTCTCATTAACCGGCATCGTGGTCTTTAATTTAGCCTGAGTCCTTAAACAGTTCAGTTCGTTACTGTGTTGGCAGAAAGGACTACAGGCGCGTCTATAGAAGGAGCATCCCTAGGGTTTGCCCGGGGCTTTCTTTCCAGCCCATAACCTACAGAGGCGTCCTCACTGCACAGGAAGCTGTACCCCCACCCCAGGGCCAGCTGGGTCATGCGCATTTATAGGAGATGTGTGGTACCCTCATCTCTGGACACCTCTGTCTCCTCCCCCTCCCCTTCCCCCTCCCCCTCCTAGTGACACAGCTCTGTGGTCCCCGCGGGAGCAAAGGGCAGTCCAGCAGTGGCTCTCAGCTCTCTCTACATGGTCAGGCCACAATGTGAACATCCGTCTCTATTTTTCTCTTATAGGCGACGTTTCTTTACACGTTACAAGTTAAATATCTGCTCACCCAGGTAATGCGGACTTTCCTCTTCCTTTGTGGGGCTAATAGGAGTTCACAGCTTTCAGGGATGGGGTCCTGGAAGGATCAGAGAGGGGGGCCGGATGGGGAGCCGCCTGCCAGCACTGCCTTCATGCCCCCG